GTAGTAGTAGCAGACGTTGTATTAGTTGTAGTAGTAGTAGTAGTCGTAGCGGTAGCAGTAGTTGTTGTAGTAGCAGAAGTTGTAGCAGTAGCAGTAGTTGTAGTAATAACAGAAGTTGTAGTGGCATAAGTTGTAGTAGTAGTAGTTGAAATGGTAGTAGTAGTAGTTATTTATTTATTTAGTTAGTTAGTTATTGTTGTAGTTGTTATCGCTTCTGACGCCGTAGTTGCAAAGATACCGACTTGTTTTGTATACTATAAGAAATGATTCAATCCATCTGTGTTTCTCTATCAATCAGTGTTCTGTCAACGGAAGCGTAAATCGACGCATTTCACCGCGTTCAAACTTTTCTCACATTCTCCTCTTCTTCTTCTCTCTCTCTTCACTCTCTTCTCTCTTGTCGGGTGCCATTTATTTTTTATTATGATTTTATTATACCTGCTGATTTTTTCTTTTGTCTGTCCTCTTCTCTACTTTTCTCATATCTCCTCTTCGCTCTCTCTTCACTCTCTTCTCTTTGTCGTTGCCATTTATTTTTTATTATTATTTTATTATACCTGCTTATTTCTTCTTTGTCTGTCCTCTTCTCTACTTTTCTCATATCTCCTCTTCGCTCTCTCTTCACTCTCTTCTCTCTTGTCGGGTGCCATTTATTTTTTATTATGATTTTATTATACCTGCTTATTTCTTCTTTTGTCTGTCCTCTTCTCTACTTTTCTCATATCTCCTCTTCGCTCTCTCTTCACTCTCTTCTCTCTTGTCGGTTGCCATTTATTTTTTTATTATTATTTTATTATACCTGCTGATTTTTTCTTTTGTCTGTCCTCTTCTCTACTTTTCTCATATCTCCTCTTCTCTCTCTTCTCTCTTGTCGGATGCCATTTTTACTCAGACGATGCACATTTCCTCTGACAGCGACAGTCATATCCTGACACTGGTGGAAAGACGTCCTATTCATCTCCTAATTCTGATTTTTTTATTCATTTCGGCTATTTGTCTTTTCTTTCTTCTCTTCTCTTTTCGTTTTTATTCATCCTTTCGTTTGTTTGTTTTTCATTTTTCTTTTTTTCTTTTTCTCTGCTCTGGTGTTTCTGTCTTTATTCTTTTACTTCTTCTTGTCCTCCGCTATCGTCCCTGTTCATATATTCCTCCCTCGCTTCCTTCTTATCTTTTTCTCTTCCTCTTTCCCTCCTCTCCTTCCACCATTCCTTCCACCCTCCATTTCCTCCTTTCCATCCTTTCCATTTCCTCTACCAATCCACCTCCCCTTCCCTCCCTCCTCCCTCCTCCTTTCCATTCCCTCCACCCTCCTCCCATCTTTCCATTCCCTCCACCGCCCTCCTTTCCATTCCCTCCACCCTCCACCTTCCCTTCCCCTCCCTCCACCCTCCACCTCCTCTTCCCTCCTTTCCATCCCTACCACCCTCCATCTCCCATCTCCCCTTCCCTCCACCCATCCAATTCGTCTTCCCTCCTCTTCCCCCCCTCCTTTCCATTCCCTCCCTCCTCCCTCTCCCTCCTTTCCATTCCCTCCACCGCCCTTCCTCCCCTTCCGTTTTCTACCGGGGTCGTGGCCGCCATCCCGTCGCCATCCGGCCGAGTTGTGAGCCATGCCAGTTGCTGGGGGATACGAGCTCAGAACATTCCAGACTGTCCTTGAATATTGCTCATCTTATCATTATTCAAATACCTGCTTATTTTTTTTCCTCCTGAGGTAGGCTCATTAGGCCTAAAAGCTTTCGTTTAATGGGTCATTTCTTATAGGGTTTCCTACGCTGTTGACGGTCGGGCTAATTAAGTATATAAATTATGTTGCTGTTTTTTTTTTCTTTTGTCTTTCTTAATTCTCTCGTAGGGAGGGAGATATTTATAGATTAGGAGGCTAGCAAAAAATGAAACTGATGGATTTGGATATATAAGTAGGCCTAGACAAAAGTATGGATATATATATATATATATATATATATATATATATATATATATATATATATATATATATGTGTGTGTGTGTGTGTGTGTGTGTGTGTGTGTGTGTGTGTGTGTGTGTGTGTGTGTGTGTGTGTGTGTGTGTGTGTGTGTGTGTGATTTTCTTTTCATTTTCATATTTTCACACCACGTTAAAAGAAAAATAACACCAAAAACTAAAATATTTCTCTAAACTCTCTTAATCTCGTAGGTCAATCACAGGTATTTTTAATATTCAGATCACATTCTTTATAAATGGATTCAGATGAAGATGAATAGGATAATGCAAACCAATATAAATAGTTTATTAATAATATATTTGCTTCAGTAGAGACATAAATATATGTAAAATCTTTAACACTTGTTGATTTTTTCTTGTATGTACAACATATTTACATAATTACAAAAGATTAAACAACATAGAGAAAACATGTAGTAGTAATACTCACTAGAACCAACATAAATAACATATGTAAGTATTAAAAAAACATGCATACAGTTGAAAGGTCAAACACAAAGCACAAACGATTACAAAATGGTCCGTTTCAAAAGTTTACAAATTACAAAAAACAAACAAACAAAATCCATCTCCTTTGCACCTTTTTACGTAGTGATACAAACTGAATTATTTATTCTTTTGTATAAATTTTTCTTTTCTTTTCATTTCGAGAAATACAAACGAAAAAAATGCCTATGAGTAATTTAATGCCTCACGTATAGCCCTGTTTAGCGTTCGTTAATGCCTCTTACAATATGACTTCCTTTACTTTTTAGAACGCGTTTGGAATACGAAAGCGGGATAAGTAGAGTATAATTATAACGAATATAACGAATACACTGCACACCATGTTCATATAACGTTATATTTCCTTTTTTATCCGAAATTATGTCAAGAAAGAACGCACAGTCGAAAAGCAACAAACGAAAAATTTCATTTTCTTCACATATCTCTTCTAATCCAATTAAAATACTTGAACCAATGACTCCCCAGAACGCAAGGCTTTCATACCTGCCAATTTATCAAAAAAAGAAAAAAGAAAAAAAAAGAAAGAAAAAAAAAAAATATATCCGATAGCCTTGGATGGGATGATTGGTTCCTTCATCTCACTACCCCCCCCCCCTCACGTCTTTCTTTACCGTGTGTGTGCGTGAGTGTATGTGTCTGTGTGCGTGTGTACGTGTATGTGTGTGTACATGTGTGTGCGTGTGTACGTGTATGTGTGTGTGTACGTGCGCATGTGTGTGATCCTCGACCTCCTTCAAAACGGGTAGCCTCATGAATCCTGTTATTATCCCGCCCCTACAGAGGATCCCTTTGATGAAGGGGGCAAAAGGAACCCTTTCCCCTCCTCTCCCCCCCTCGCCCCTCCCCCTCCACGTTATCTACCGTCTTATCGGATAAAAAAGAGGCTCTGTCTTTCCTACTTTCGGATTTCCAACGCGTAAGATTTTGTATTTATTTTGGCTTTCCATCGGAGACAAATTTGTGATTTATTTCTATTTTTCTCTCTTTCTTTCTCCATTTGTACTATCAGAGCGATTTGTGTTCATCCTAAAAATATTAATATTCTTTTTTTTATAAGAATGACTTAGAAGCTGACTATCATAGAAATCAGGAGTATACTATCAAGTCTTAAGTTTATAAGTAACAGGTCTCGGGAGGGAAAAAAGAGCATATTTGGTCGCTAAAATGTACTATACAATTCCTTCTCTGCGGTCAAAATGGACCTTCGTTTTAATCTCCTTCTCTGAGTTTCCTCCAAAAAGAGCGGAAACTGTCAAAAAAATAATGTATGACGCGATACGAGATGATAAAATATGAAATGAAAGAAAGAGAAGAGAGTATACACAGATTAAACAGAATAGCAACACGGGAAGTTATATATAAGTATACATCCATCTATCCATCCACCCACTCATCTGTCCGTCCATCCACTCTTCCACCCGTCCATCCATCCATCTATCCACATACAAACACACAAACTCACTTCCCGACCTACACAACCGTACCCCCCCCCCCCCCCCGACCCAACACTCATTGTAACAAAAGCTCACCAACTCGCCGACGATATCAAGCTCAGTTCACAACAAAGACCCAACACAAGAGGAGGAAGAAGACCTGGAGTTTCGCACGCACCGCGATCGCTTTCTTGTCTCCTCTTCCTCCTTTTCCTTCTCCTCCTCTTTCTCCTTTTTCCTTCTCCTCCTCTTCCTCCCTTTCGTTCTCCTCTTTCTCCTTTTCCTTCTCCTCCTCTCCTCCTTTTGTTCTCCTCCTCTTTCTGCCTCCTCTTTTCTCCTTTTCTCTCCTCCTCTTTCCTCCTTTTCCGACGTCGGCGAGACACGGAAAGAGCGAGAAAACTGAGCCACGCGGAAAGAGGCGTAAAGAAAGCTTGTGACACACTTTAAACGATAATGATGAATAGCGATAACGAAAGAAAGACAGGAAGGTAGATAGAAAGATGGGGCGAAAAAGAGACAGCGTATAAAACAAAGAATCGACGCGTATTTCTTTAAAGAGCGGATGTCCGTGATCTTTTCACGCCACTGTTCCTAGGCAATTCTTACAAGGGGAAGTTTGGTGATACAGGAGAAAATGAAAGAAATGGAGAGAGAGAGAGAGAGAGAGAGAGAGAGAGAGAGAGAGAGAGAGAGAGAGAGAGAGAGAGAGAGAGAGAGAGAGAGAGAGAGAGAGAGAGAGAGAGAGAAATAGAGAAATAGAGAAATAGAGAAAGAGAGAAGAAAGAAAGAAAGAAAGAAAGAAAGAGAGAAAGAAAGAGAGAAAGAGAGAGCGAAAGAAAGAAAGAGACAGAGAGAGAGAGAATGAACCATGATAATTATTTTTATTACTACGCGTCGCACTCGCCCCTTTCACGTGACCTCTGGCAGCACCGAAGGCACGAACCAAGGGACCTCCTCCATCGAGTCACTGGAAAAGCAATAATCTTCCGCCTCCACGACACCTTCCTTGCCTTCACGCACGAAAAAGGGGGACCTTAAACTTTTTCTCTTCTCTTTCTCTACAATTTTTATTTTTTTTTATAGAAATATATATATATATGTGTTTGTATATAAGAGTCGTGGGGTTGACTCCTCTCCACTGGTATCAACACGAGGACAGCCGTCGCTCTGAGCATCTGGAATGGAGAAGAAACGAAAAAGTTATTCACCTGTGTATTTTTAGAAGGAATTTCTATATTTCATTGTTGGAATTGATGGTAAGAATGTTATATCATATCAGAGGAGGGGGAGGGGGAGGAGGAAGAGAAGGAGGGTGGAATAAGAGAGAGAGGAAGAGGTGGAAGGAGAGAAAAGGATGAGGTGGGAAGAAGAGAGAAGGAAGAGGACGTGAGAGATAAACGATTGGCTAAACTCACCAAATCTTTGGCATGGGGCATCTTTGGCGAGAGGCGGCGCTCAGATGTAGAAGCAGTTCTCGTAATTCGGACAGCAGGACGACCTTCTCTTGGGCAGCGGCGGCTCCTCGGGCTGAGAGCTGCTGACCAGCGTCGCCAGAGAGGACGACGACGACGAGATCGCCTTCGCTGGGGGGGGCCGAGGGAGGGGGGGAGGGCGGGGCTGAGGGCGAAGGCGCGAGCGTCGTCGAGATAATGATGGGTTTCGGGAGGCTGCTGCTTTCGCCCCAGCCGGCGGGGGGCGCGGGCTGCCCCTTCGTCTGCGGCGTCGAGACGATCTTGCCCGTCACGGTGATGATGTTGAGGATGGTCCTCGGGACGGGCTTCGGGGCCGCGGGCTTGTCTCCTGCCGCGGAGGGCCCCTGCGGGGACGGCACGGGCGGCTTCGACGCTTGGGTCGTCGTCGTTATCGTCGTCGTGGTCGTTGTTATCTGGGGTTTGGACGCGTTGTCAGCGGGCGCTTTGGCGTCGCCGGAACTCGCACTCTTGGCGGGGGACGACGCCGGGGACACGGCGGGCGACGGCTTCGGCGGCGACGCGAGCGCGGCTGGAGAAACGCGCTGGATGGGCGCGGGCGTCGTGACGGGGAGAGAGGTCTTCAGGGACGCGAGGGACATGTTCGGGGACGCCATGGAAGACACCCCCGACGAGGAGCCATCGGAGGAGTCGCTGCCGCTGGACGAGATGCTGAGGGCGGAGGAGACGCTGGAGGTGGAGATGAGGCTGCCGATGGTGGTGTTGTGGTCCTCGTGCTCGGACTCGGTGTCCGTGCTCGACTGGTCCAGGCTCCTTCTCCACGAGACCTGCGGCGAACAAGAAAAACACGATTAGAACAACGGAAACTATTCACTCGCAGAGCTCTACCGCATCAGCATCAACAAGCACCGATTGTTTATTGCTTTCTGCTTGAACTTACTCTTGACTTCAGGCTGAGAGTGTATGAGACGTTTCTGCGCAGGACGAAGGCGTAGTTGTGGCGGGAGGCCCGCGGCCACTCGCTCTGCACCAGCAGCGGGAACTCGTCGGCCTCGAGCGGCCGGTCGGTGTACGGGTTCTTGTTGACCTCGTGCACCGCGTAGTTCTTGGGGTTCTCCTTGCTGCTGTAGCAGTTGAGGAGCAGCTGCACCAGCTCCTCCGCCGTCGTGCGGTACGACACCAGCAGCGACTTGTACTGCGACTGGAAACGGGAAGGAGAGAAACATAAATAAACCTTCTTGTGCCACTGGACTAAGAAACAAAATTCCAATTTTCAAAGGACTGAATTCCTCCTGCAAGCCAGAGGCGGCACTCACCCCGGGCATGAGGATGGAGTCGTGCACGCGCAGCAGCCCGCCGCGCCGCACGCCCACGCTGAAGCGAGCCTCCCCGCGCGGGCGACACTGCTGCAGCTCCGCCGGACACGCGTGGTCGTCCAGCACCAGGAGTCGTCGAGCGGGAGCACCGCCCCCTGGGCCTCGAACCACGACCTCCATCGTCACGTAGAACAGGTTGGGGTCGCGGTGTCGCAGACGGAACTTGGCCAGGAGCATGAGGATCAGCTGACGGCACGTTGTGGAGGACGACAGGCTGACGGTCTTGTACTCGATGTCAGGACGCAGAGACCGCAGGTAGACCTTCACGGGCGTCTGCGGAGGGAGAGAAGGGGCGAGACGTTAGCCATTGTATCTAGTATTCATTAATATCAAGCGAGAGGAAACAGATTGCATGAAGGCGAATCTATCAAGAATAACAGATCAATATACATAAACATAAAAACGAATCCAATGATACCGTCTACCTATCAACAAATACCACGGTGCTGACACCCACACAAAAGAGAACAAGAACGCGAGAATACCGTACCGACAATCAAAAACAAAAGACAATAAAAATGACGACAATAAAAACAACAACAGCACCATCGCAGCACCACTTAGCGACGAGATATCAATCAGCTGATCACGCCGACAAAAGCGCACAAAGGGGCGAGGAACAGCGAGTAGATTCAACAAAAGCCCTTACTCTACAGTGTCATGCTCTGCCAGGCTGTGCCCCAGTAGCCGCGGGTGGGCTCGGGGTCGAGTCAAGAATGTCGGGTCACGTGACAAAAAAGTCGAGGTCGAGCGGGGGGGTTACGGGGGGGTCGGAGGTCACGCGGCTCGGGGCATGGCTTCTGGGCATCGAGGCCGAGGAAGGGGCGGGGGGCTGGGACTGGGTGGGGTGGAGAGGGTATTTGGTCGGGGTATTACGGAGGGGGGGGGGGGGTAGATGGGGACTGGGTATTTGGTGTGAGTTGCGGGGTGGGAAGGGTGAGAAGGAGAAGAGAAGAAAATATGAAGATAAGGAGATAGAGGAGGACGGATGAAGAGAAGGAGGAGGAGGGAGAAGAAAGGAGAAGGAGAAAAAGATAAGGAGGTAGAGGAGTAGGGAGAATGAAGAAGATGGAGAAAGATGAGGGAGAAAAGAGAGAAGGAGTAAAAAGAAAATAAAAATAAGGAGGAGGGGAAGGAGGGAGTAAAATAGAAGGAGAAAGAGGAGTAGGGAGAAAAAGAGGAGGAGGGAGAAAAAGAGAAGGAGAAAGGGAAGGAGAAGAGGCGTGGTAGGGGTGGCCTCGGGGGGGGGGAGTCAATTAAGGCGGTGCACCTCTACTGCGCCCGGAGAAGAAAGAGAATATTCCTCTCCTATCTATCCCAGGTATTCTTTCCTTCTTTCTCTCGCTCTTTTTCTTTCGTTTCTTTCCCCCCTTCTTCATCATACGATTCGGACGATTAATTCCCCTTTTGTAAAGGATATATATCATACTTTTTTTCTCTCTCTCTTCCTTTCATACCAAACTACCTGCTATTTTCTTTCTCCACCGTCGCTCCGGGCTTCTCCCTCGCTCCCTTTCGCTCCCCCCCACCCCCTCTCTCTCTCCCCTATCTCTACCTCCCCCTCTCCCCTCTCTCTCACTTGCACCTCCCCCTCTCTCCCCTCTTTCCTCTCCTTCTCCTCCTCTCTTCTCTCCTCTTCCCTCTCCTCCTCCTCTCCTCCCTCCTCTTCCATCTCTCCTCCCCCCATCTCTCCCTCTTCCCCTCCCCCTCCCCTCCCTCTCTCACCCCCTTCGCTACCTGCCCTTCTAATATGCCTTGTCTTTAACGGTCTCGGCGAATGACTTGAAGAAATCATTATCATTTCACACAAGCCCTTGGGACTTTACACTTGAGGGATCTGTTTTCGCCAAGGACAAGGCAAGTTTCAGAGCACGTTCAAGCTTTAGAACACAAGGGTAAGTCTCGGAACAAAATTCAAGCTTTAGAGCAAGGCAAAGAGGACAGTTAGGTTTTAGAGCACAGTCAAGTTCCAGAGGACAGTCAAGTTTTAGAACATAGATGAGTTTTAGAGCACACTCAAGCTTTCGATTCACAGTTCACAGAGTGGAGTTAAGTCTTAGAACACAGTTAAACTTGAAAGCTCTGATAAATTTTAGAGCACATTCAAGCTACAGAGCACAGTCAAGCCTTAGAGCACAGTTAAATTTTAGAGCCCTGATAAATTATAGAGCACAATTAAGGTTTAGAGCACAGTTTTCGCTGCTAAAATCCTTCTGTAGGATACGCCTTCGCACGCCAGTCTAATATATGTCGAAATGGTCATCTAGAGTATTAATGAGGAAGTGCAAATAAAGGTTAATTAAGTGTAAATCGCAAGAGTAAATTGAAGCTCTGATGAGGAAGTGCAATTGAACGTTAATGAGACGTGAATTGAAATGGTAAATTGGAGCATTGAGACGGAAATGCAATTAACGAAAACAAAAATAGAAAAAAAACAATGCTATGAGACTTCTTATCATCATATTCCTCCATTTCTGTTGATGCTGTTGTTGTTGTGTGTGCATGAATAACGACGAAAATGATATGCACATAGCCACAAGAAAATAGAAAAATAAAGATTCTCCTCCCCGTGTTCCTCCTTCGTCATGCAGCGTTATGGCGTCGGTCCTTAACACGGACGCGCAAGGGGAACCTCCACTTCCCTCTCGCCGAAAAGATTTACCGACAACCTCGCCAGCGCATCACGACACACTCCATTCCGGCCCAGAACCCCCCCCCCCCACCCCCCTCCCCCCCCCACGAACCGATAGGACGACGACCCACGCACACGTACGCGCACACGCATACCCACGCACGCACACGCACAACAAACACGTACGCAGAAGACACATAACTCAAACACACACACACACACAACACACACACAGCCAGACACACCCCTGCCCTACACACCTCCGAAACATCCCAAAATCCACACCCCACACACGAAATCCATATCCATCCCCAAATATCCACACTGCATATATACACACACAACACCCCCCCCCATATCACCCCCGAACATCATTCGCAGACACCCACATCCATCCCCAATATCCACACTGCATTACACACAAACAACACCCCCCCCCCCACCCTAACCTCACCTCCGAAACATCCCGTTCGCAAGATTCCACATCCATCCCCAAATATCCACACGGCAATATCCACACACGCGCGCACGTCCATTCCTCCATTCCTAACCCGATTACCCGCCGAGTTAATGCCAAGTTCAAACCACACCTGCGTTGTCTTCGCTTGTGATTATGGGGCCATGAAAACAATAGGGAAGACTTTCTTGCTTTTTCTCATAGCAGGAACGCCTTTAGGACCCGGGGCATGGAGGTCGCGGGTGGGTTGGCGCCTGTGTGACAGATTTTTTTTAACGAATTTTCTTTTTACACTTTCCTAATGTATCCGTTTACTTAAGATGTGGGAAGGGGGTCGGAACAATGCAAGTGTGCGTCGTGGTAAATATCGCAGGAAGGAAATAAGAGAAAAAGGAAGAGAAAAAACCTGGTATAGAAAGCTGCAACTTAATTACACGATCGTTCGGATTTGAAATAAAAAAATAAAAAGCGCTCTTTCTTTATCTATTTTGTTTATCTACGCAGCGTGAACGAAAGCCATGGGAAAATCAAATACGAAAAAAAGGGAAGAAACAACTTTCACGTATCGCAAAATCCTCGTATTCATCCCTTCCTTTAAAGAGAAAGAAAGGGAAAAAAAAGGAAAACTCGTGGAGCGTTCGAATTGTGTGAAAATTTGCCGGTAAATAAGTACGCCAAAGTGCTTCATTGTTCCCTCGATTTCGAAGGTTCCAAAGGGACAAAAAAATATAACCCGATGCGTATATGAAAGCGGGAAATAACATGTCATCCATTACAAAGGCTGACGGACAGACCACACTTCAAGCAGAACGGGGTAAGTCCGTATCCCCTGCTGGGACAACCGCGAATTTCCTTTCCTTACTTGTTTGCAAAACATTTGTGGATTTTCGATTTTCCTCTGCGGGTTATTTATCGTCAACATTTTATAAGAAATGAAACGACCTGGAAATGCTGAACTAAAACATCAATTAAGACTAATTTCTCCTCATCACTCAATGTTGATCGTGAAGAAAAAGACATTTTATAGGCGTTACCCCTCGAACGCAGGGAGGGACGCACGCACCTCCGCGTTCGGCGTTTGTTTCATTTCTTTTTTTTTCGTTCTCTCTTCCTCTCTTTCGGGGAGACAGGATGAAGGGGTTGAAATGGGGACAGAATCTAATGTAATTTCTATTGTTCGTATAAGGGGGAAAATTAATATTTAATCTATTTCTTATTTCCGGAACCAAATCACCTCGATTCGATTTTTTTACCACGGCGAATGAGAATACCAAACGCAACGGAACAAAAGCAAAAATATTAATAATAACAATCCCCATTACTTATATGGAAAAAAATAAAACACCAACCTACCCAGTTTTCAGAGTTAATGGGTTATCGGCATATTTTTTTTATGGGGAAAGTTTAATGGGTGTCGTACCATCCAGCGAGCTTTACTTTAGGCTCGTGGGTGGCTGGTTGGGGGAGGAGGGGGAGGGGGAGTGGCGGCCTACTGCGTCGTGTCGTGTCAGAAATATGGGTCTACTCCTATATATTTTTTTTCTCTGTCTCTTATTGCATGTTTTTTTTTTCTTTTTTTACATTGTGGTCATGGGACAGACATGTATATAAATAAAAGGTATGATCGTAGCAATTCTGAATTGCTGATATATAAGAATGATAATAAAAACATTTGATACAACTTCCGGCATAAAAATATTCAAAACTCAAATATCCAAACTTTCTCAAAATAACGAATCATTCTCCACACCGCAAACATAAACATATATATTTCTTTCATAAGCAAGTGAAAAAATGCAACATATATCCCAATCCCTTTAAAACACATAAAAAAAACATACACGTACACACTCCTTCCATCCCACATCAAAATCAAACGACCTACATACACAAAAACCATAAAAAATAAATCATACCTACAAAACCCAAAAATAAAACACGAATACAAATATAAAAAACATTATATGACATTTTTTTCGTCATTCAGGGCGGCCTACATACACAGGCCTACATACACACACGCGCACACCGCCCTCGACGCGATCTGAAGGCGTATGGCAGGAAGGAAACGGCGCCCAACAGAACAGGAAGTTTGCCGCTTAATAATGGGAACCGGACCCCGTTTCATTAGCCCGCCCCTGTCTTTCTCTTCCCTCTCTCTCTCTCTTTCTGTTTGTGTCTGTCTCTCTGTCTGGGTCTCTCGGTCTTTCTTTCTCTCTCTCTCTCTCTCTCTCTCTCTCTCTCTCTCTCTCTCTCTCTCTCTCTCTCTCTCTCTCTCTCTCTCTCTCTCTCTCAATCTCTGAGACAGAAAGGAAGAGAAAGTGAAAAGAAAGAGGCAAAAATAAATAGCGAGAGAGAGAAAGAGAGAGAGAGATGAGAAAGATCGAAAGAAAGCAGACAGAGAAGAGAAGCGAAGATGAGAGAAGAGCAGAGAAGAAAAGAAACGAAGACGAGAGAAGCGAAGGGAAAGAGAAAAGAAAAAAAATCCAAATCGAAGCGAAACGAAAGGAAGACACAGGAGAAAAGAAGAGAAAAAAAATCAAATAAACAAACCCATTAAACCAGTTATCTCTCACGTTTAATTCTCTTTTATGTCTCGCAGTCATCTCCCGAGCGCACTTTTCGGCGCCGCTCAAGTGCTTGTGATGATGTTGTTGGGGCGAGGGCGTGATGCCGCTCACTACATGGGCGTGGTCATTAGCCGTAGCTTTGGAGTGTGTCTGTGTCGAGGGGGGAGGGGGTGGAGTGTGGTGGGGGTGTGTAGTATGTATGTATGTGTGAATGTGTGTGTGTGTGTGTGTGTATGTGTTGTATGTATGTGTATGTTGTATGTATGTGTGTATGTGTGTGTGTGTATGTGTGTGTGTGTGTGTGTGTGTGTGTGTTGTGTGTGTGTGTGTGTGTGTGTGTGTGTGTGTGTGTGTGTGTGTGTGTGTGTGTGTGTGGTGTGTGTGTGTGTGTGTTTACATCACCGCCAGGAAACACTTATTACTACCAACCAACATAACCCAACCCAACATATGCCCCCATCCCAACGGGCCACCCTCCAACACTCACCGTCTGCGGCTCGTTCAGCGACGCGGTGGAGGAGCACCTCGAGGACAGCCTCCCGATGGCCAAGGAGGAGAAGCTGAGGGTCGAGTGGAGGCTGATCGAGTCCGGCGAGAAGCTCTTGAGGTCGGAGAGAGAGGCGTCCTTGAGGGAGAGCGTGTCGGGGGACGAAAGCATGCCCTTGGCCTTGAGTGTCATCTCGGGCGACGAGGGGGAGAGGTCGCCCTTGAGGCTGAGGGTGTCCGGGCACACGCTCGAACCCCGGCAGGTGAGTTCGGCGGGCGAGCGGCCCAAGGACGAGGTGGAGCGGTAGGTCACGTGTTTCAGCATCTTTGGCACCTGGGGGAGGAGGAAGGGGGGGGGGTTAGAAGGGTGATTGTGGTGATTGTGATAGTGATGATAATGATATGGTAACAATGTGATGATTGTGATTGTGATTATGAGGATGATGATGGTAATGATATGATAACTGTGATGATTGTGATGGTAAAGGTGAAGATGATGATGAATTAACGGTGAAATGATATAATAAAGATTGTGCCGATAATGATAATGATGGCAATGAAGCTGATTGTAGTACTGATAATTTATCTGATGATCGCAGTACCGAGAACAAAGATGATTCATGACAATAGTGACACGCAATAATTATGGTGCATGACAATAAATAACGTATGAAATTCTTTAACAATTTCGAAATAGATAAATAAGAAAGATCGTAAATAATGCAGAAATGAGAATAAAAAACAAAGAATATTGCCATTCTCTCCTCAGACGTGACGAAAACACTCCCCGCTTTCTAAAACCCAAAAAGGAAACATCCACTCTCAAAACTAGGTTTCCGCAGGTATAATTTCCATACATCACTCTAGAATATGCTCCAGATATGCTGCGCGGATATGCTGTATTCATCAACATACCCATCCATCAACGGAAGACATGAAGGGGTTTAAAGGGGACGGAAAAATATGAGCTGGCAACTCAGGCTGGTTAAGGGGGGGTTTCTGGCAAACAATTTGACGGAAATAAGATCAGCTGTTCTAAAATTGAAAAAATGATAAAAGTTTTATTTTAAGAGTGATGGTGATGGTAAAAAAAAAAAAAAATAATGAAGTTTATCCTTTGCGTGTAGTAGTGGTAATAATTAAACAGGTAAAAAAATTAATTCTAATAGTAATAAGAATGGGGGATGTAGTTATCTAAAGTATATTACTAAAACCACCAAGAAAAATATCAAAGGCTAACCTAACTTGCTAAAAAAAGGTATACAACATGACATGTACAACACACAGAATATCTTTCTCTCTATTCATACTGTACATAGATACATGCACGCACGCACGCACACACACACACATAAATAAAAGATAAGAGGTCAGACATGGTTAACTGATAACAGGTGACCTATCGTCGCATTCTGACCCCATCACTTATCAACCAGAGTTTCATTTGATTCATGAAAAACTATCATGATAATATGATCATAAAATGCAGAAAAGAACACATCATTATAAAATGTCTATTTATAAAACATGAAGAAATGTATATATACAACAATTTGCATGGACATTAATAATATAATAAAAAATAACTCACCAAATTTGAAAACACATCACAAAATTCACAAGTACATCTTGCTGTATCCAAAAAGGGGTGTATATATCCTTGGTATAATCTTCGGCACTATCAATTCTCTTTCCTTTTCCGGTGTCACTCACAAAATCGCACGAGAGAAGTACGCACACTCCCACCTTGGTTAAAGTCACAACATAGACTGCGTTACATTTTCTTTCCTGGCTTGGTGCCCGTGAAGCCTCAGTTGCCATGTTTTATTTTTCCCTTATTAATTACGGTAACTATCAATGTCTTATTTATTTCATTATTGTACCAGAATTTGTTTATAAAATATTTGCAATCACCCAAGATATACTCGTAATAATAAAGAAATTTATTTATTTATTTGTTATTATATATATAAATAAACACGTACCCACAACTTTCCTAGTTCCGGTGCTCCTCAGCTTGCTCGGCGCTCATTGGTTGGTTGTCTGTCCGTGACGTCACGCGAAAGAAAGTCTGTCATTGGTCAACTCTTTAAGGGAATTCAATAGCACGGAGAGAGCAAAAGAAAGGGAGGAAGAGGTGTGTAAGAGATAGGTGGAATAAAGGGAACGATAGAACAATATACAGCGATAAAAAGGGAGAAATCTCTCTCTCTCTCTCTCTCTCTCTCTCTCTCTCTCTCTCTCTCTCTCTCTCCTCTCTCTCTCTCTCTCTCTCTCTCTCTCTCTCTCTCTCTCTCTCTTCTCTCTCTCTCTCTCTCTCCGCCTCATTATCCCTTCCTGTTTTCCTTCGACCCCTTTTCTGCTCTATTCCCCTTTCTCTCCCTCTCCCTTCTCACCATCTTTCCTTCTCTCCTCCTTCTCCTCCAAGCTCTTCCTGTCCCTTCCCTCCCTCTCGCTCCCCTTCCCTCTCCCTTCCAATCCATCAATCTGTCATTTCCTTACCCTTCTTCCCTATTTTCTTCCATCCTCAATCATCTTCCTCTATTTTCTCCTTTCTTCCCTTTCTTTCTCTCCTTCCTTCTCTCATCCTCTTCTTCCCTTCTCTCTGTCCATCAGCCTACCCTTCTCTCCCATATTTTCTCCTACTTCCTCTTCCTTCCCTCCCTCTCTTTCTCTCCAATTTGCCCTCTTCCTCTCCCCCTCCATCCTTGGTATGATCTTCGGCACACCTCCCTCCTCCTTCCTTCTTTTTGTTCCAACTCCAGTTCTCTATTCTATCCCTCTCTTCCCTACCCTAATATTCCCCCCTCTCTTTGTTTTTCTCTCCTTCCCTCATTTTTCCTCTCCCTCCTTCCTCCTCTCCCGCCCCTTTCCTCCTTCTTCCTCTCCCTCCTCTTTCTCCCTTTCCCTCCTTCATATTCTCTATATCTTTCCTCCCTCTTCTCTCTTGATTTCCGTCTTTCCTCTTCTCCCTCTTCTCACTCCATTTCCTTCCTTCCTCCTCTCTTTTCTTTCCCCTCTTTCCTCCTTCTTCTCGCTCTCCTTCCCTCCTTCCTCCTCTCTATCCCTTTCCTCTCCTTCCCTCTTTCATCCTCTCCCTCCTCTCACATTCATCTCGCACCCCGACCCCCCTCTTCCCACCTTCCCCTCTTTTCTTATTCCTACCTCCTCCTCTATCTGCATCTCTACCGTCTTCCCATCTCACCTCCCCACCTCCCTCCTCCCAAACCCACCCTCATCCTCTCCTCCCACCTCCCTCTCCCCTTTCCTCCCACTCCTTCTCTCTGTCCACTTCCTTCTCTCCCATCTCCCACCTCCAGTCCCCCCTCTCCTCTCCCCTCTCCTCCCATCTCCCCTCCAGTCCCCCTCTCCTCTGTCATCTCTCTCTCCATCTCCTCCCCCATCTCCACCCAGTCCCCCTCTCCTCTGTCCTCTCTCTCTCCATCCCCACCTCCATCTCCACCTCCAGTCCCCTCTCCTCCCATCTCCCACCTCCAGTCCCCCCTCTCCTCCCATCTCCCACCTCCAGTCCCCCCTCTCCTCTCATCTCCACCTCCCACCTCCCCCTCTCCCCTCTCACCTCCCCTCTCCCCTGTACTTCTCCTCTCATCTCCCACCTCACCCCTCTCCTCTGTTCCTCTCCTCCCAGCTCCCATTCCCTTCCTCCCACTCGTCTTCCCCTCCCCTACCCCCCTCCTTCTCAGCATGGGATCTTCAGCGTCCCTTGTGTCAGGTACCTAACGAGGGTACTCCTGGTTACTGCGTTTGCTCCTAGCTATTTAACACCTACCTGGCATCGACAGTTAGAACGGAGATCGTCATCGATAAAGCCCATAAACTTCGGAGATCTCGTAGAAGAACTGTGAGAACTGGGTTTACTTCACACGCAAGATGGAGTTGTGTTGGTTTGTCTTCTTGCAGGAATTCGTTCGGTTATATATGCATGGTGCATTTATTTGGGTTGCTTAAGTCTGTTTAAGTCAATATATGGCAATCGGCATTTGTCTATCTTATTGTAGATCTAGCAATGTCTATATCTGCATTTGCCTTTCTAGCTGTCTATCTGTCTGTCTATATACTTTTTTGTATAAACACATATCACACACACGCACACACACTGACTCTGTAAGAGCTCGAATGTTTGGCCCTACAAGAGTTGGTAGATGGCGAGCTTAGGGTTAAGGTAGACAACCAAGACGTCTTGACTCCATTTATTAAATAGACTGTTGGAGTGCGGCTGCTCCTTGGAGGTGTTGCTCCTTGGCTCCCCGCAGGGAGTCTGCCTGATCTATGCAGTAGTCTAAAGAACGCACTAAGTCACGTTGTTAACATGTGACAACCGATGATGAACAGGCAAGCGTTACATCAGTACATAGCTCTTATGGAAGAGATAGACAACACTATATTGGAATGTCTGGTGTGGCAAGAAGAGAGGAATAAACAGGGGAAGCAATGGTCAGGCGTATATGCATATGTATATGTATGTGTCAGGATACGTATGTGACAAACATATAAGATTATATAGATATGTAGAATATAGTAATTAGATATAGATATAGCTGGGTTACACACTCACATACACACACAAATACGAACAGATTCAGCAAAAAAAAAATCCGAAAGACCTTCTACTGAAAAATGTAAGCATTTTAAGTAAACTGGCTGGAAAATAACTGTTTTATAATCTTATTACATGTATAATGTGCGTATTACTCATATCTTATATTTATGCATATACATACGTATACATTATATATGTATATGTATATATATATATATATATATATATATATATATATATATATATATATATATATATATATATATAATACATATATATATATATATATATATATATATATATATATATATATACATATATACACACGTATATATACATATACACGCACACATGTATAATGTGCATATTACTTATACCTTTATGATAATGCATGCAAATGCATTAAAGCACAATCTTAGTTAGGCAATCTGAGAATATTAAGATATCTTAAATCCTTTGTATCTTCGACATAACTGTCTAAATTAACTTTTTTTCCGCAATGCTTTCCTGCAAATGACTCTTTGTTCTTTAATGGCTTAGTCACGTTATTTCTATTTGTTTTAAGTTGAATCAGGTTTTATATTAAGCCGGAGTGTATGTATTTTTCATATTAAAGTAATTCGGAAACAAAGAAACCCGTTTGTATTATACAGATTCCGGGAGCTTTTACAGGAAAACTTTGTTAATAAATATACTTTTCTTTGAATACGTTTAGAGGAAAAATATATTAATTGATATCTTTTTTTTT